TAAAAATAATTAAATTGCCCAATTCTGAACTGTTAAAATGAACTGTAGCACAATTTTGGCTTTTTTACGTAAAGCTACCAGTCTTCCAGCACAGATCTGAAAATCTGTGTTAAAGCAGTCTTTTCAATGAAGTGTAAATGCTGTCAGGGGTGCAGCCTGTGAAGGTTTTAGAAGTGAGAGCTTTCCTAATGGCAAAATAGTTTCCCTCTTAGAGTCTTTGGAAGCTTTACTTGCATCCTTTTTTGCTTGAAAAGAATTTCCCCTCATTTTACCTCCTGCCCCATGCAGGCATCAGTCATACAAAGCCAGTATTGTTCCTGCACACTGCCTTATTCCAGGGCTTATTCCAGTGTGCCTGTGTGCATCCCTAGCACAGCTGGATACAGGCAAGCTGGGAAAACTGCAGGCAGCCCTTGGCTCTCTGCAGGACTTGCTCTGTCAGTTTGTACACAAACCTGCTGGGTCAGGGCTGGCTCTGGTCCAGCCTGCTTGAAATGCAGGTGAAAACACATTTATCAGTTAAAAAGCTGGTTCAGCCTCACACCCAATATAAATTGGTATGTGTAGTTTTTAATTGGATTTTAAACTGATTACATGTTATTTTTATCAATTCTGAGGACAAATGTATGATGGTGATAGTTATGATCTTTCCTGCCTTAAAAAAGAGATAGTATAATTTTCACAAGAATATTCAAGACTTGCAAATGTATTAAAATCTCATAGATTTTTATATAGATGAGAACTGGGCCTTTTTTAAAAGCTGACTGGCACAGCTAAGTTCTATTTCTTGACAATTTTTTGCTTCTTGCAGCTTTTTTGAAATAGCAGAAAGTGGCAGGGAGCAGGAAGGTGGCTGGCTATGACTGACTTTGCTGGAGTCAGATGAAAGAGTTGCTGTGATGCTAAGGGATCTTTTAGCCACCCACTCACCGCTTTATTCATTGATATGTCTGTCATGTCCTTGTCCCATCCCTTTGTGTAATCTGTTCCCCTTTTGCCCATATTGGCAGTAAAATGGTTTTGACCTTGACATTTCCATACTTTGTAACTTTTTGGCCATTTGTTTTCTGTTTGGTAGAGGGCAGGTCAGTGATCTGTATTATCATTTATTGCAAACACTGGACATGAGATAAAGGCAAACCCTTCGTTTAAAAATAGGTAAATGAATGAAAAACACCCCCAGGAAAAAACCCTAAACTGGACAACCTGACCATGTTTTGACAAAATCCTGAGGGAGCTCAGGCTGGCTGTTGCAATAGCAGCCACAGCCACTTCCTTTGGGCCAAGGTCTGTTGTGCATTGAAGAACTGCTGTGTTTAAGAACATGTTCCCACTGCCTTTTTATATAGGTATTTTTGGGAGACAGAAAAATTTTAGCTCAAGTCTCTTGACAACTGAGTTCAGAAATGAAAGTGGTGCCCTGTTGTGGTTTCTGTTGTTGATTTTGTGGGAATGGTAGCTGCACTTTTGTAAATGTTAGAATTTTAGTTATGCATTTCTTGCCCAGGATTTTGAGGAAGGATGTTTTCTACTCACAAAATGTGATGCCATTCAAACGAGTCAACAGGAGATTTACCCTACTGACAAAGGAAGTGGCACAGTGTCTTTCTTGTCAGCTATGTTCAGACCTTTTGTGGAAGGTTATCAGGTATGTTGTCCTTCAGAAAATGATCTCTTTTTTTTCCTGTGTTTTGTAGGGAAAGTAAGAGAGCTGTGATACCTCTGTGTAAATAGGCTGAGAAATACAAAAGTTAAGAAACAGCAGTAATAAATCTTAAACCCACCCTTCCCCAAGGATCCCAATTTTAGCTTTTGGCTCAGACTTGTCCAATTTGCCAAAGCAGTAACTGCTATGTGATGTTATGGCTCATTGTGGGTTTATGAGATTCATAAGGAGTGTGCTGCTACCAGGTTCATTGTTCTTTTTTATGAGGAGCTCTTGCTTAATTCATTTTATGTGGGTTGTCCTGCCAGGTGTGGAAATAAGTTTGCATCTCCTATCTGAGAGCTTTTATAGGAATCATTAATTCCACCCATTTCTCGTTGAATTCTTCTGGTTTTTCCCAAGGTTTTAATAAAATGAAACATTTACATTCCTGTAGTAAGTAATACATACAAACCCAGAAGGATAAAATCTCCGCTAAATCAGTATAAGATTGGTGAGACTGGAGGTGTTCAACATAGTGGAATGTAGTTAGTGATCTGATGTGTGAGGTGTACTGATGTGCCCATTTTTTCTCATCTTCAGAACAGGTATTGGTTTAAAAAAGTTAAACTGTTTTGAGTTGTAAGAATAAGAATGTAAAATTAATGTCTAAGGTAGCTATTATAGAAATATGGAGTCTTATTTTCACATTGTGATTCTTTTACCTGTAAAACAGTAATAAAACTTTCAGAAGCCTTATGCAATACCTTTTGAGGTCCTCTCCTATGCTTTTCAAAGTGGATAGTATTACTTACAAGGACACATCTCTTTATAACTCATTACAAGCTGACAATCTAAAAGAAAGGAATGCTCATTTTCTTGAAAATGTTAGTTAATTTTCAGATACCTCTCAAAGGAAATGAAAGAAGCATTTACTGAGAAGCAGTTTATACCTGGAGTCCGCAACTTTGTTTTTCAACTTCTTGAGAAGGGTGTGTACAGCTGTTACTCAATATGGTTTTACAGGAGTAGCCTATTAATTGAAAATTATAAAAATTTTAATTGTGTTTCTGTCTTCTCCATAGGGAGTACACAATGTTATGAAGCACTGTCTTCTGACATGCAGAAAAATGCCTTATCAGCTCTTGTGCAACTGGGTGCAGTGAAGAAGAAGAAAATGTAAGTAAAGTTAGATACCTGGTGTATAGAAATCTTAGTGGCAATTCTTAATGTCTGAGCTCCTGGCAGACAACCCTAACTGCCTGAGCACCAGAGGTTGACTGGAGTCATAGAGAAGACCCAAAAGTTCCTTTCTGTACATGATGTGGAAGTGGAATGGCATGCCCTCACAGTGGAAAGACTCCAGTGGGACCTAACAAAATTCATTAACTCACTATTAGGCTGCTTCTGATTCCCTTTACCTTTTGGTTTTCAACCTTCCTCCCTTTTTTTCTTTCTGATAAGAAAAGAAGAGCACTGCTTATTTGTAATACTGTGTGCTACAGTAAGCCTTGTGAGGCAATGTAGCAATAATCAGGAATGTAAGCAATAATCAGGAATATCATTAGTTTGAGGGAACTTCAGCACTGAGATCATCTCAAAGCAATTTAACTGAAAGCTTGATCATTTGAGTCCTTTTACACAGTTCATGGTTTATAGACCTAAGATTAAAATGCACCTGTTGCTGTATGGTGTTATTCTGTTATCAAATGAATTTGTGTTGTGGTGCTCATTACTGTGTTTAGAAGTGTGATCCTGGAAGTCCCCAATAGAACAAGTCCCTGCAGTGTCTTGAGTGTTCCACAGAACACAGATGGCAGCTGATGATCTGAGCTATTTCCTTATGCCTCTGTTCATAAAATGATTAGGTTAAGGTAAATGTCTATAGCTAAATTCACCTTTCAAGTAAAAGGAATAAATTGAGTGCAGCAGAATTTGGGGACTGTGAACAAGAGAAAAGGTAAAGAAACCATGACTGTTCTAGAGTAGAAGTCTGACATGTCCTTAAAGTTGATATGTTTGATGGTATGATGAAAAATATGTAATTATGAAAATGTTTAATTCTGATTATTTTGTAGAAATTACTGGAATAAGTAATATTTCTTGAGTAAACTTTTTTTTGTAATTGTAGGCCCAGTGGATTCACTTATAATGTAAATCAAGAGGCTGTTAGTAAAATCCTGGACATGTTTGGTAAGTGTTCGCTAATCAATTTGAAGAGAGCTTCTCAAGTTATAAATTACTTTGGACAATGCACATATGTTAGATGTAGTGATTTTAGCTAGTAATTCCATAGACTTAAATGCATAAAAATCTTAGTAATATTTTTTTACAATGCTTTTTCTGGTATCATTAGCTGCAGCTTTGAAATCTCCCTTCTTTATTTCACATACTGTGCAATCCAGTGACTGAGGGCAGTAAAGTAAGAAGTAGTTTATTGGCATGGTGTTTACAGCATGTTGATCAGAAATGTTCAGTGTGGGTTTTTTTGTTAGATGCTCGGATACCTGTACAGAAACCTGTGGCTGCACGACTCTGAGTGGTCCCTGATGCTGAGAGTGGATGTAAGCTCCTGCTGAGAACATGGACCACTGCCCCACTGGAGCAGGGATAGGAACAGACACGATTCCCCTCCTGCCCAGCCAGCCTGCAAGCGTGGGAGGCACAGAGGTGTTTCTTCAGCTGGAAAGCTCTCCATTACCACTTAGGAATTGCTGCTGAGGGGCTTAGAGGTGTATGTACATCCTCACCTTGTTTTGTTTTTTCAAACAAATTAAACATTGTCTCTTTTTTTAATAAATATTGAAAGAGATGTGCAGAGCAATGGCTACCTACATACATTTTTCTAGACTTGTAACAAGGAATGTGATTGGTTTCAAGTATTTCATGGATGTGAAAATGTAACAGGGAATTAAAAGACTTGCTATTAAAATTAATATTTAGAAAAAAACGTTGCTGGCTGGCTAAATGTAAGGCAAGGCCCTCATGAATGAACAGCACAAATCAAACCTTGGGCAATAACCAGAACTGATAAATGTATTGGGTCTTGTGTTTTGGTATTTTGTGTTTGGGTTGGTTTTGTTGGTTTTTTTTTTTGTTGTTTTTTCTAAGGCAGCTTGGCATTATTTTAATTACTTAATGAATGTTGTATTTAAACATTGAATTAAAGGACCGTCGATTACGTGTCTGTCGTCTCTTCCCCCCGTATCACCGCTTACTGCGTTGTCCCTTGAGGCGGCAGAGTTCTGCCGGAGTTTTCCAGGGTTTTTATTTTTCCCAGTCCGCTCCCTGCTGCCGCGTTACAAAGGCGGAGCCGGGGCAGGCTGAGCCCGGAACGGAGCTGGGGTGGGGCTGGGAGAGCGGAGCCGGCGGAGCGCCCGCCCCTCTGGGTGCGAGTTGGCGGACGGGAAGCGGCATGGCTCCCGGCGTGGAGCTGGGCTTCGCGGCGGCGGCGGAGGGCGCGGGCGGTGCCTGGCGGCTGCACAGCACCTACTTCCCCAGCAAGGTCGGGGGGCGGCCGGCGTGGCTGGGCGAGGCCGGGCTGCCGGGCCCCGCCGCTCTGCGCTGCGGCCGCTGCCAGCAGCCCTGCGCCTTCCTGCTCCAGCTCTACGCGCCGCTGCCCGGCCGCGCCGACGCCTTCCACCGCACCCTCTTCGTGTTCGCCTGCCGCGGCGCCGCCTGCTACGGCCTGGCGGGCCCGGGCGGGCCCTTCCGCGGTGAGGCGCGGGGGCGCGGGGAGGGACGGGGCGAGGGCTGCCGGCCGCCGCCCCGCTGACCGGCGCGTCTCCCCGCAGTGTTCCGGAGCCAGCTGCCGCGGCGGAACGACACGTACCCCGAGGAGCCGCCCCCCGAGGAGCCGCCCCCGGGCCCGGCCCCCGCGCCCCCGCGGCGCCTGGGCAGCGGCGCCGCGCTGTGCCGCGTGTGCGGCTGCCTCGGGCCGCGCTGCTGCGGGCGCTGCCGCCGCGCCGCCTACTGCGGGCCCGAGCACCAGGCGCTGGACTGGCGGCGCGGGCACCGCCGCTCCTGCGGGCAGCACGCCGCCGGAGGTGGGTCCGCACACACCGCCATCGGGGGCCTCTGCAACGGGAACTGACACCCGTGCCAGCTGTGGTTAATGCTGCACCGAGCTGCCGAGCCGCAGCTCCTGAGCTCTTAAATGCCGCTGCTAGCACTGTTTGGTCTGCCTTCCACGCCACTTGGATTTACAGAGGTTCAAAGCAACAGGACGCCTGTTGCAGTTTTCCGCTGTCCTTAACATAACAGTGTTTCTTACCTTCAGGTCAGGTCTAGCAGTGATGTAAATCTTTCTTGCTCATGCAATGCTTCTGCTATGTAATTTGCTGTGTAGCTTTTGGGGAGAAGGACGTGAAATACGAGATGATGTTGTGAAGTGGTGTCTGTCTTCTGTTTTCTAGATGACTTGGCAAATGCAATTCCAGAGCATAACGAATTCCTTTTTCCGGAATATGAAATTTTGATAGAACCTGAGGAACCAGAACTTCCTGCTGACAGCACTGATGATGAACAAGGAGCTGAAGGTACATCAAAGGATGCAAAAGAACAAGAGGAACTTGGAGCTGCAGGCACTGCAGGTCAGAAATAACGTGCTGCCTGTAATTCTTCCTGGTTATGCCTGTTATCACATCTTTAAAATATCAACTACTGTGCACATTTAGCCTTTTTTCACCAGAAGTTTACAAGGAACACTTAAAAATCAGTCATTTGCAGTGCTAGTTTGTTGTAGACATCCCATAATATAAGTTGCTTTTCTGGGAGAGACTTACTAAGCTCTGACCCCAGGAGATGTTGAAGCAGCTGTTGCACTGTGTCCCTGTGTGCTTCCAGTAGGTCAGGAACATCTCAAGTGAGAAGGACAGGACTGAGCACCTGCTGCTGGATGCTGCTGAAATCAGCACATTGTTAGATTGCCTTGGCTTGACTCAGTTCAATTTGTCTTACTTTATGGAAAATAAAATTTTTCTTGTCTATGCTAGCAGAGAACTGGTTTGAGGATATTTTAACAGTTGAAGTGCAGGCTCCTTCCTCCCTGCTCCTCCTTAATTCACAGTGGGTTTGCTGCAAGTGTCTTTGAAGACACCCCGGGTGGAGAGGTTGTGGTGGTGCCAGGGAAGGATGCTGGGTTCCTGGTGGTCCCTTGCTGTGGTCCAAAGCTGTCTCAAGAGTGTTCAGTGGCCCCAGTTGATGTGGGTGTGGAGTGTAACAGATACACTCTTCAGTGCTAAAAACTGAAGCCTGGCACATGAGCAGCATGCAGGCCTTTTTCAAATGTGGTGTCCTGAAAGTTCTGTAGTCTTCCTGATATCTGCTGGGAGCCATAAACTTTGGTAGATTAACTCCTTCCCTTTCCAGTATTCAGTACTGACATCTGTGTTTAAAATGCAGCTAAAACTATTAAATGGACCTGTGTGTGACCAAATCTTAACGTGCCATGAAAATAAAAAAAATCTTAGATTTATGCCAGGAATCACTTATGAAGCAAAATAAATTTACACGTGCTAATACTGTTTTTAATTTTTAGTGTCTTATATCAGCCTGTAAGTTTTACTGTTCTTTTTTCTTGCTTAGATGGAGCATTTCAGTCCTTAGATGAAGAGGCATTGGAAGCAATGGCAAAACACGAGACTGCAGAAGAAAAGATCTTCCAGATGTTTAAAAAACGAGTAGCTGGTGAGCCAGAGCAGGTGAGAAGATGGGGCAGCCTTTGAAAGTAGTGGTTCTGACACAGCATCTTGCTGCACATGCAGCGTTTTGTACTAGTTAGAAATGGGGATGCCTCCTCATCCTCTACACACCTAACCCACACCCTGTCATCTTCCTTATGAACTTAATTTGTGCCCAAGTAAGAGTTTAGCACCTGCTCAGCCATCTTAAACAGCTGCCGGTCAGGATGAGGTGGCACGAGGGTGCTGAATCCCCCCCAGTGTGGAAGGAGCCACCATCCTGAGACATGGTTCAAACCAAAGGACATGGGAACCACTGCGCTGTTCTCCAGCCTGCAGCCCTGCTAGAACAAAAACTGCAGAGAAGAGCTCTGTCAGTGTCACCAGCTGCATTGGGGGGTGGCTTGGCTCTTTTTAAGGTTGAAGGATGGCTTTAGAATTTCCACTATTTAAAACAGAAATCTTTCCCCCCATGCTATTTCTTACTGCAAAAGGCTAAAAAGCTACATTGTCAAACAAAACCATGGTCCCTGGTTTCATTCAGAGAAGACACAGTCCTTAATCCATCAAAGTGGTGAAGAAGAAATTCTCTCCATGTTTTGCCTGGTAGCTGAGGGGTTAAGGTGCGCACTCAGAAAGTAGGAGACTTTGAGTCTGTTCCCTTCTCTGCCTTAGGTATGTGCCTCACTCTCTGACCATCTCTCTACTGACTGATCTGTCCCAGTGTCCTTTTGCTGATCATGTGTGATTTGCTAATAACTGAAAAACAAAGGATATGAAAATACCTTTTGGAACATTAGGCTAGTCTGCTTGTATTTAGATGCAGAACTGCAGACAGAAAGATCTGGATTGCATTCCTAACTGTGTGCAGGTCTGTGTGCTAACTCTCCAGCTGCTTTTTCTCTGTCTCAAGACTGTAACATACACAACCTTGCATTTCTGGATCCCTTGGTTAGGGAATTACAAATAATCCCCTGGATCACTGAAAAAATAGGATATGAATACTTGCATGATTCACATAGTTAAGAAAACTTATATAAGCAGCCTGTCTTATTTAGAATGCTGCATTTGCAAATTATATTTTGCCATGGTTGTTAAACTGACCTTTTTCTGCTCTATCTACATACAGCTTTGTGTCACTAAACACCTATTTTATAGCAAGATGAAAGGATAGTCACGAGAACCTAAATTTCTGCTGTGTTTCAGATTATTAGATACTGCAGAGGAGGAGAAGGTCCACTCTGGGTGTCAGGTGAAAATAGGCCTGAAGAAAAAGATATCCCAAATTGTGTGTGTGGTGCCAAAAGGATATTTGAATTCCAGGTATGTAAGCTCATTTAAAAATAATACAGGTAATGTATTTCCGACTGAGGATCTAATTGTTGGCTTGTAAGTTGAGCAAGAAGGTTGAAGTTGCAACAAACTAACTACACTAAATGATTGTACAGAGCCTTTATTTACTCCTATAAGTGCTCTTTCAATTCGTTGTGTGCATTATAAATAAGTTTGGCTGGAAGCATTCAGCTGTAGAACTTTGAATGCTAGAGGTGTATGTATGATGAACACACTTATGTCATGGAAAGGCAAAACAGAGTTACTAATGGAATTTCAAATGGTGGGAGGCTCACAAATCAGGCAAGTTTTATAAGGCCAAATGAAACTTACCTAGAACTCCAAATTTGGTTTATTTGAGCTGCCATATACATAGTAGCTTCAGTTGGGATTTTGGTGTAAGAGAATATAAATTCTTACACCAAATATAGGACTGTTCTTCAGGAGAAATGGGGAGAGGGGAGAAGTCTGTGGCCTGCCTCTAAACCTTTTGGTTTTCCTTGAAGATTATGCCACAGCTCCTGAATCACCTTCAGGTTGACAGCCTTGGAGAGAGCATTGACTGGGGAACGCTGGTGGTGTACACTTGTGCTGACAGCTGCGGCGGGGAGAGTGCATACCTGGAGGAGTTCATATGGAAGCAAGACTACTCCATGGGCTGTACTTTATGAAGTTGAGTCATCCAAGTGGAATACTTGATTTGTTTCACTGCATCTCTGCACTGTGCAAACAGGTAGTTGAAGTAACTGATAACAGTGCATCTTGTAACAGTGATAAAACTGCTGTAACTAGACCTTGACAGCCTCTCTTGTGCTCCAGAGGAGCTTTTACTTCAATCTGGTAATGAAGCCAGATGCATTTGTTCAGAAAGCTTTATTTCAAATCTCATTTCTGGAAGTTTATTAAATAAAGATGAAAAACTTTTGGATTGGTGAAATTATCTTTTGTTGGTAACAGAACTTCAAAAACTTAAAAGATTGTAGTCTGTCAGGATTTTCATCAGGCTACTCAAAAATTAGCATTCATTCAAAGAAAAGCAGACTCCTGTAAACCCACACCAGTGCTTATGTTGAAGAGCTGTACAGGAGTCAGCTAAAATAAAGCTATATAACCTTTTGCTGTGGAATTTAAATCTACTTCCCTTTCTCAGCAGGTACATAAACCCAACTTGGGAGTTTGTCCCATGCTCTGACTGACTGGTTGAGGTAAAATGCACAAAAATTAAGTGTTTTATCTGACTTTAAAACTATTAGCCCCATGCAGTAGTTTAACTCAGTTACCTGGTGCAGAAGCAGTTTAAACAAAGTCAGCCCTAGCAGAACACATTTGTCTGTTACACACTGCCTGTAGCAGCAGATTTTCAGGCTGAATTGTACCTAAACTCTGCTATCATTGGTGAAGTTTAAAAATAAGTGTCCTCTGCAGGGATTCTTCCACTGTATGACTGCCAAATAGCTGAGACAAGAGAATAGTGAAACCATAATGCTGAACTTTACTGTGGTAGTTGCTGAACTACTCCTATGGCCATGGCAGTATCTGCAGAAAAGGCTTTTTTGTGCGTTTCCCTATAGAATTGACTTGAGTTACATATTCCCTTCCCGTGCTCCAACCAATCATGGCTGCTTACCTGTGACTCTGTGGGGCCCACCGTGGGGGTTTTGAAATCATTTAGGCATTGAAAGTACTCAAATAAGCAGGCAGAGAATGCTGTACCTGGAAGTGGTTTTGTTATCACAGGACTTAATTTCTAGCAGGGTAGTTTGAAGCCCTGGTCTGTGTTGTGAAAGAGCAAACTGTCTCAAGTCACTGTAGTACAGCTTGACTGATTGTGTTGAAAACTGCCCTATGGTTTCTTGGGGCTTCAAGCTTTCTGAAGAGTTGAAGAGTTTTGCACATAAGGTGGTAATAGTTCAGGTCCTACAAAAGCATGGACAGCCACACAATTACAGCCCAGAGCTCTCAGGAGCATTCATGAGCTCACAGCACAGAGTGGCACAGCACTGAAGGCAACACAGTGCTTGAGCATATCCTGCAGTGCTGCATTAATAACAGCATCTTTCTGGTAAGAGCCATGAAAGCAGTCATCAGGACACCCGGAGAGACACTGATGTAGAGAGAAGACTGAAGATTAAGGTCACTTAGGATGTGCAAATGGAGCAGTATCAAAGCCAGCCAAAACTTAATTTTGTCTGGAATGAAATACCAACTTAGAAATGAGACCATTGCTTACATTTGGGTTAGTTTCAGATAAAAGCTGTTTGAAATAATGTGTAAGTCATAGAGAGGTTATTATTCCTAGAAATTTCCTGAAGGAAAAAAAAAAAGTTTATTTTTAGCTCTGAGCCTATTAGGCTTCAAGCATCATTCAGAAGGAAGATTATGTATGTGCTGACTCCAGCTGGAAGGGCTTTGACATTTTACAGGAACACTAATATAGTGAGGCTCTCACAGCTGGTAAAATACAAAGATAGTAATTTAAAGAAATTCTAGAAGCTAAGCAGGGATCTATTGTTTCAGTCAAGTGCAGCTATTTAAGACTTGCCTATATCCCATCTGTTGAACATATGGCAACACATACTCAAACACAAGCTTCTTTAATCAGTCGTCTCTTTTGCTTTAACATGTTGGAAATATTCAAGGTAGACATTGCCAAGGGTGTGACTGCTGGTAAGGAAGCCAGAGCACTGCTAAGATTCTCTCAAAACAACATGTCACTTATAGCAGTGCATCTGCTATTAAAAAATCTATTAAATAAAAAAAGTAATTCAATGTATTTCATTCTACCAGCTGGGTAATTTTAAAATTTATTAAGACAGTTCCCACAGTTGTATAAACAGGGTTTATTGTACATGTGGAGTTGAAGAAGGAAAGAGAAGAAAGGTATATATTATATATATATGTACAGTGAGCCATTTTAATTAATAAATTTATTCTATCTTGCTTAATACTGGAAAGAGGGAATGTGTCTGGCACCAAAGAAATTTAAAATTGAAAAAATTTAAAAGCTAAAGTTCTGAAAATTATAAAAACCATGGTCTTATGGAAGGAACTTAAAACATATATACATGGCAATTAAAGTGGTTTATACACTGAGTGACACAGTTGCATTTGTCTTTAAACCAACTTACAGATTTTTCTATTAATAGAACTGGCATTAAAACTATTTAAAAGCTAGAATATAAATAAAAGTTGGAGGGGCTGCTCCAGGAACAGCCCAGTAAAGCAACTCACAGTAACTCAGTAGACATATTCAAGAAAACAGTTCCCCTTGAGCATCAGGGAAGTAGGCACTAACTGGGAAATAGTCCAAGTCCTGGTGTTGCAGTTGCACTGAAGTCCATTTCTTGTTACTGCTGTGCCATACACAATACCTTTTAAAATATACCCCTGATTTCTCTGAAATGTGTAGAAACTGTTACGTTGTCTTTCTGAATCCCTTTAAAATAGGATAGATGTTTTCAAATGCTTCATAGATTTCTGCTCGTACTTTAGCACCTGGAGAAAGAAGGGATTCAATTAGTTTGTACCTTTTGCCAAATATTTAATTTCAGCTTTTAGAATGTGTATGTGAATGCAACTCTATATAAAACCTACATGTATCCATAAATCCCCATTTTTACAATCCTTTTTAACACATTTCATAGAGCTTACATTACCAGCCTTCTCTGTTTAATCTGACAGCTGCTAAAACTTTCACTAGCATCTCTGCCATGATGCTATGTTGCAAATGGAATTTTCATATACATGATTTCCACAAGAGACCCAACAACAAAGCACAGCCCTGTAGGATGTTTGTGCAGAAAGGCCTAACTGGTGCAGCTTGTTTTGAGAGTGTGAGTACCAGGGGGAGGAAGGTCTGGCAATGGAGACCACTGCAGAGAATTGCATTTCCCCACACTGCAGGGATGTGATCCTTTTGTCTGTGGGTCTTGCAGGTTTCTTCCTCCTAGTAAGACACAGCATGAGAAAAAATGGAGGGAGTAGGTTGAGGATGTCCTAGAGCTCAAGTATCTCCCCTTCTTTGGCTGCTGTATCATGGATCATGGCAGCAGCCTGCAACCAAGCTGCCAAAGAAAAGCCAGCTCAGTCACATGCTCAGCCACAGAAAGTCTTTCAGATTTTGCCAGAAAGATCTTACATTCTTACTGCTTTTTGGGCACCTGCACACCTGACTAGGGTTCATGATGATTGTTCCTTTGATCTAGCCAAATGTGCTGTTGCTTTGTGCATTCCCATCTGTTAAGGAACACGGTGCAGGCAGCTGTGTGTGCAGTGGCAGTGCTGAGCTGCAGGTTGAGCTCTGGGTGAAGCACACCCAGGCAAGAGGCCTGAACCGCTGAATCTTTGCATAACAAAGCCTGGTGCTGAGCCTCAAGAAAACCTGGTCTGACTGTGTGAGTGGAGTGTGTAGGGAGTCAAGCACCTGCTGGATTTGCTGAAGCTGCCCACTCCAAACAGGCTCTGGTCCTGCTGCAGTTGGTGTGGCTCTGACTGCCAGGGTGGCTGCTGGATGGCTGCACAGGGGAAGTTTCCTTAACATTCCATCCATGGAATACCCTATTAAATCTCCTTTCTCAGTACTGTCATCTCTAAAGGAAAAGTACCTGGCAGATTACATATCCCTGTCTGTTCTCTGTCATACAGTCTAAATCTCACCTCTTGGAGTAAGATACTGTCTTCACTTACCAGTTAAAACCACTTTTCCAGAAACAAAAATAAGCAGAACAATTCTTGGCTTAATCATTCTGTAGATTAAGCCAGGAAACAATTCCGGCTCGTAGCTGTAAGAGAAGAGAGAGTATTTAAATGTGCTGGCAGACCCATGTTCCACCCCATCTTCTGGGCCCAGTCTAGACTGGCAGAGCAGATGTAGACTTCCCTGAAACTTGGGGAGGGTATCAATGTGAACCTGTCAAAACCAAATTTTGACAGGTTCACACTGGGCAGCCTCAGTTACACCTGAGGCAGTGCAGAGATGGGAAAAAATATGCAGGTTTCCCTGTGGTGCAAGGGAATAATCTAAAGAGATGTCACCTTCTAAGATAGTATGCAACAAGAATGAAACATAAACAAGCCTTTTTTTACCTGCTGAACTGCTGGTGTGTGAGTACCAATCCTTCCAGTCTGATGGGAAATTTCACATCACAGCTGCCCACCATATTCTGAATTTTAAAATCCAAAAATTTTGCAGGAAAACCCAGTTTCTGAACAACTCTTGCATACTTCCTTGCGGCCAGTCTGGATTGCTCCTCACTGAAGTGAGAAAAGGATATCTGTATTACCTCCTCAGTTAACTATTACTTCAAGCACACAGCATTAAACCACAAATACCTAACTGGGGAAAAAAGTCTGTGTGGAGGGAGGGGAGTTCACACGCAACATTTTTACATCCAAAATTAACAACTACCACTGACTGATTTTCATGCTAATTCTGGTAATAGGCTCCTGGACACCATTAGTGTTGCACTCACTGTTCATGACACAAACCAGTAAATTATAAATCCATACCTTTTACATTTTAAAATATTGACCAGTCCCTCTAATGGGACTGTTACTTAAGATTAAGTACTTAAGATTAGATTGTTACTTGAGATTTCACTGTAGAACAACCTTGAACTACTACTGCTAGAAAATACAGATTTCTATAAAAATCTGTAAACTGGCAAAATCTTCTGTTTGATGCAGCCCAGGCATTCAAACATGGGTTTAATACAACTGCACAGCTTTACCCACTGTTGCAGAATTCAGTTTGCTTCAGGTCTGTAAACAGCTGAGAATCTGTTGCTGATGCAGAGTAAGACAACTTGAATTTCAAGTGTCACCAAGCAGAGAAAATGTTCCCCTGTACAGATCTATTCATTCATTTCTGCTCATTAGTTTATTCCTTCTGGATTCCTAGCAGACTTCTTTGGAGCAGAATTTCTCTCCTGCCCACCAGAGTTAAGCTTATGTTTAGCTTTCAATTCTTGTCCTTCAATGGTCACATTAAGAACAGATCAGACTACAGGAACTAGAGATTTGGAGCTCTTGTCCTGTGATGAATGAAGCTATTCAAATATAAAATTCTTCTCTCACCATCCTTACAACTTAAGCAGTTCCAATGCATAGTTGCTGAA